TTACTTATAAATATTAATTCAGAGTAAAATAAAAACAATTTGTGTAGTTGGCTATAGACTATTCCTTCTGATACTTTCTGCAAGTGACATAAAATCTGGTAGCGACAGAGAAAGAATTTTGACTGCTATTTTCTTTTGTGTAGAAAAATTAGATATTTTAGATTATAGAGTCAAACCCTCTAGAATCCTGTTTTCTGTATTAAATAATGTTTAGTTTAAAATAAATGGTTAAAATAGCTTTTAGGATTAGTTTGCCCAAACTACTGTAACAGGTTCCCACACACTTACCTTTCGGAGGTAATGGGTGTTACTGGGTCAAAGCCCAGGCACAGTCAGGGCAGCGCCCCCCTCTGGCGGCCCGTGTCCTGACTTTCCCAGGTTCCGGAGCTGAGCTGCGAGCCCGCATTTCCTGGCTCCCTTTCCCTTCCTCAGCTTCCAAAATTGGCAGCACGGCGTCTTGCTTCCTTCGCCACGGTGCTGCTGCTTCTGGAGTCAAGCCTCCCCCTCTGCGCAGGGCCCTTGTGGTTACACGTAGAATCCCCTTCAATAATCCGGGGAAACCCCCCAGTTCCAGACCCTTCATTTACTCCGATCTCACAGTCCCTTTTGCCAGATGATGTAAGTATTCACAGGTTCCATTGGGTATGGCCTAGGTATCTTTGGGGGCCCATTACTCAGCCTTCCACAAACTTGCTCTGAGCTGTTTTGCTTGAGGGGAGATTTCATATATCCCCGACTGTCTAAAGAATCTTACAGGCCATTACCCCCTGTCCAACTCTGTCAGGTGACACCCCGGCATTTCTGATGGCACACAACCGTGTCTTTGCACGACAACTCTTTTTTTACTTTCTAGTTAGAAAGTGTTTCAAACTTATAGAAAAGTTGCAGAAATAAGAATAGCAAAGCATACTCAAATGTCCTCTACCAAGTTCACCTATTATTACCATTCTATCCTATTTGCTTATTAATCCTGACTGGCATGATTTACAACAAATCCACATTTCCGCTTTTAGAACACCACATACAAAACTGTAGCAATAACTCTATTAGTCATATATATTGACCATCTGCTCTCATTCTCTTCAGTTCAACCAGAGGTGGGCAGACTTCTGTGGAAAGGGCCAGGCAGCAAATGGTTTTGGCTACGCTGACGATCTGATCTCCGTGGCAACTGCTCCTGTCTGGTGGTGTCCTGCAGAAGCAGCCACAGACAATTCAACCAACGAACACACTGTATTCTCATTAAACTTCAGCCACCAACACAGGGAGTGGGCTGAGTTTTGCTCATGGGCTATTGCTTGTCAACCCAAGTTAAATGAGTTCTAAGTGATTCAGAATTGTAGTTAAAATTTAAAAAAAATCGGTGTGTTCCTTTAATTGCTTTGGTTACCAAAAAATGGTTCTGAATCTTTTCACTCAAAAATAAGTTTTTTATCTCCAATTAAAAGATTGAGTCATTATCAGAGAGAGACTTTAGGGTAGTACTCAGTTGCACCTGCAAAATGCAGACACACAGAATGTAAGTTTTTCAAAAAATTTTATTGATTATGCCATTACAGTTGTTCTATTTCCCCCTTCATTCCCCTCCACCCTGCACACCCCCTTCCCCACCATTCCCCCCCTTTAGTTTATGACACCTGTATCAAGTTATTTAGATTCTATATTTCCCATACTATTCTTGCCCTCCCTCCTATTTTCTACCTATCATCTATGCTTCTTATTTTCTGTACCTTCTCCCCCCTTCTCCTTCTCCCACTCCCCTATTGCTAACCCTCCATGTCATGTTCATTTCTATGGTTCCGCTCCTGATCTAGCTGTCCTCTTAGTTTGCTTTTGTTTTAGGTGTGGTTCTTAACAACTGTGAGTTTGCTGTCCTTTCACTGTTCATATTTTTTGCCTTCTTTTTCTTAGATAAGTCCCTTTAACATTTCATATAATAAGGGCTTGGTGATGATGAACTCCTTGAATTTGATCTTATCTGAGAAGCACTTTATCTGTCTTATTCTAAATGAAAACTTTGCTGTATAGAGCAATCTTGGATGTAGATGTTTGGATTTCATGACTTAGAATACCTCTTTCCAGCCCCTTCTTGCCCGTAAGGTCTCTTTTGAGAAATCCGCTGACAGTCTGATGGGAAGTCCTTTGTAGGTGACTGTCCCTTTATCTCTTGCTGCTTCTAGGATTCTCTCCTTCATTTTAATCTTGGCTAATGATGATGTGCCTTGGTGTGTTCCTTCTTGGGTCCAACTTCTTTGGGACTCTCTGAGCTTCCTGGACTTCCTGGAAGTCTATTTCCTTTGCCAGATTGGGGAAATTCTCCTTTATTATTTGTTCAAACAAGTTTTCCACTGGTGGCTGTTCCTCTTCCCCTTCTGGCACCCCAATAATTCGGATGTTGGAACATTTAAAGATGTCCTGGAGGTTCCTAAGCCTTTCCTAATTTTTTTGAATTCTTGTTTCTTCATATTTTTCTGTTTGGTCATTTTTTTCTTTCATTTGGTTCACTCCCTTGATTTGAGCTCCAGTTTTCTTTCCATTACTATTGGTTTCCTGTGCATTTCCATTCATTTCAATTAGTTTAGCCTTCATATGTTCCTCTAATTTGTGACTAAAATCAACCAGTTCCATGAGCATCCTAATCACCAGTGTTTTGAACTGTGCATCTGAAAGTTTGGCTATTTCTTCATTGCTTAGAGTTATTGGCTCTGGGACTTTGAGTTCTTCTTGAGCCATGTTTGGTCTGTTCCTGCCTGTTACAGATGAGGAGCAGAGCCTTAGGTGTTCACCAGGGCGGGGTCACCCAGGTCGCTGGTTTGTGACGTTTTATGTGGGGGCGGAGTTAGAGAGTGGCAATAACGGTCCCCTCTGCCGCTTCCCGCCAATGGGGCCTGCATGGTCTGTCTCACTGCTCGCTCCCTCGCTGGTTTATCTGCACGTGAATGTGTGACTGCGGTCGGCCTGCTGCCTTGTGCCCTCACTGGGTCCACCTGTCGCAACCCCACACCTGGGGATTCGCGAACCGTTGCCCGCGCACCTGGGTCGGTTTGGCCGAGTTTCCTGCACAACCCCGCTCCACCAGCCGCTGGCTCTGCCCCTCTTACTGGTCTAGCTGAAGGGTTCCTTGTTGTCGGACTTTGGTAGTTTAATTTTCTGTGTTATGGCTGCGTATTTGTTTCACTAAAACTTTGTTGTCTTTAAACTTGGTTGTGTGAGAAGGCACAGTGTTTCCACCTACGCCTCCATCTTGGTGGAAGTCCTCAGAATGTAAGTTTTGAAAAGGACTTTGAAGACGAATGAAGGATGAGTGAGTGTGTGGGTGAGTGAACAGATGAAAACCGCATGTAGGCTGATGTTGCTCACATCAGGGCTGATTTGGAAGTTTTTAAATTTTGTGATTCAATGATAATCTAATATAAAAAGTTTTTTTTTCCATTATTGTTCAAGTACAGTTGCCTCCATTTTACCCCCACCACTCCCCCCGCCCCCCTCCCCCCCACCTCCCACCCTTGATCCTTCCCGCCTTTGGCTTTGTCCGTGGGTCCTTTTTACATGTTCCTTGAAGAACCCTCTCCTTCCTTCCCACGTTTTCCCTCTCCCTGCTTCCCATTACTGTCAGTTTGTCCTTTATTTCAAGTAAAATTTTTTGATGTAAGCAAATTTAGGATCAAACGGTTGATCTCATAATTGAGTAAAAGTGCCACTCGATTGTCATACCAGCCTTGGTGTTGACTGGTCAGTTGGGGCCAAGCAGTATTTCCCTATCGTAGGCTAAAAAGAAAGTTACTGGAGTGTGCTGCTGCCTCTGGGACCCGCGAAGGTCAGATGACCATGTGGCATAACGTACGAATTGAAAAGGTTTGGAAAGAGTAGAGGAAGGAAATATGATGGGAAAATTACGTCGTCAGTGTCGTGCAGACAGCCTACACCTGTGTGGGCACAGTGCCATGAGAATTACTGTCATTTCCAACCTCAGATCAAGGGTCCACTTGGCGCCAAGCAACATCATCTCTCCTAATTAATAAACACTAAGCTCATGGGTTTTATAAGTTTGTTTATATGTCCGTATAGTGTATAAATTTATGTTGATTCTATATTTATACAAGAACTTTAAACACTGGTTTCTATCTGGGCATGGTTTAGTTTTATTAGAGTTAAAAATCATTTGTGAGCCTTTAAGTTTGGTGAAAAAATATCTCCTTTGGGAGCATTTATCCCGTCACCAAAGTCTGAGTAATGGAATAAATGACTGAGCTGAACACTGATCTAGGCCGGCCTTCCCACAGTTTACGGATGGGGAGCCAAGACTCACAAGTGACATCACGCATTTGCATTAGAAGAGGCAGTGTTGTCAACTTACGGTACTGGAGTTATCCTGTGCTCATTAATATAAGTTTATTACACATAATATATATAATTTCTGTTTGAGGGTAATAAGCCTTCCCTACTGGTACCAATTATGGTTATTCCTAATGCTGCTTAGAAAAAATATAACTTTATTTTTATATAAGTGTAGTAGTTTACACTTTACAAATGCTTTCATCTCCACCGTCTTTTAAAAATTGCATATTTGCAGTAACCCTGAGAGAGTAGATTGTCATTTCCGTTTTGTAGATGAAGGCTTGGTGATGGGAGAGGTAGACAGACTTGCTCAGGTCACATGTATAGTAAGTGGCAGAAGGGGGACCCCAGTGCATCGGTTTCCATGGTCCTACCCTGGTGGCCGAAAGCGAACATGAAGCCTTGTCTTACTTAAATGGTTCTTCTAGACAATGATGTTCATGTGAACATGTCGGGTCTGATCGAGTATTTAATTTGTCCTCCATAGACATGACATTTCGTGTGAGAACTTTCCCTGTAGGTTATAGTTCAGACCCTTTATTATGTGCACTGAAGAATAGGATGAGCCTTGAATTACTAATTTTCTTCATCCCTACATTTTCTGGTTTTACAGTCCAAGTTCTTCGTTTAATGTGTCGTGTTGTTTGATTTTTTTTTAACAGGTCCCGATTGTTCTTTGAATGTTCCTTCCACTGAGTCTTACTGGATTCTACCGAATGTTAAGCCCTTCAGTCCTTCTGTAGGACGGGCTTCCCATAAAGCAGTTTTACATGGGAAGGTTATGTGGGTGATTGGTGGATATAGTTTTAACTACAGTTCTTTCCAAATGGTCCTGAAGTAAGTATCTTTTCCAGATCTTCACAATCTATTACTTAAGTTGATTTTTTTTTTTTTTGGTTAATAAGACTATCTCAAATGCCTGTTTTATTACTGTCCAAATTTATGAATATTTATCTTTGTGATGGGGTCTATTTGCAACATGGAACCGATTTGAAAATCTGTGAACTCAATAGTTAAATACCTGTCATGGTACATATTAGGTTCATTTTGTAAAACTTCTCTAGAGTGCCTTTAATAAATTCAGAGTAAGAAAATACTAATTAAAAGTAAGGTGAGGCCAGGCCTGTATGAGACATTATGAATCCTGACACAGTTTATTTATTTATTTTTTCAGAATGAAGTCGAATTGCTTATATAAAAATACTTTAAGTTTGTACTGCAAATGAATTTACCTGAACTTTTTTACTGTGGACTTATTTTACAAGCTTTTGTTGGGAGAGCAGTGCTGGTGTTATATAAAATAGGTTATTCATGTGCCGTCGTCCCAGTAGAGATTGTCCTCTCAGTATTGGATAATAGGGAACATGGATGGCAGCTCTATCTGATTTCTTTCAGCTCGTGATTGTGTTTTACGAATGCCCAGTCATAAAAAGCAAAAGAGGAAATGGGAAGAAGAATGAGTAGCAATGTTGCTTCCAGGAGTGATATGCATCGTGTGTAATAACTGGTGCAACTTGGGCATCAGCCAATCAGAGCTGACCCTGGACAGCCTGCCGTACAAGTGTATACCCCATAGGTTGCCAGAGGTAGCAGATAAATACACAGGACACCCAGTGAGACTTGAATTTCAGATAAACAATGAATAATTTTTTTAGTATACTTGTGTTCTTGCAATATTCTTTTTAAATTTTTTGTCTCAAATATTGTATGGGTTCTACCTATACTAAAAATTATTTGTTTATCTAAAATTCAGATTTAATTGGGCATCTTGAATTTTACCTGGCAACCCTGCATACCAAAAATATTAGCTGTATTAATTTTGGGTATTCAGAAATTCTGCTTATAAGAGGAGATTGCTTTAAAACTCTGACTGAATATGACTAGAATTAAAGTATTAAATAAAATAAATTCTGTAGAGAAGGAGGAAGAGTTTTAGCGGAGTACTTAAGAGAACAGTTAGAATTCTGTAACAATATATGACAGATTAAATATAGTAGAAGGAATTAAAAGGAGTTGGTGGGATTAAAATGAATCACTAAGATATGAAAAGAACCTGAAGAAATGAATTTTAAATGTGGAAACTGAAAGGACATTCATTAACTGTGATTAATTAAAGTGAAAAGATTGTGAAAATGAAGTAAAATGGTTTTTGCATTTTTAATGGGCAGTTAGGAAGAACAAAGAAGGATGAAAGATCAGTGTGGTGCACAAATCTAAGATACTTACTCTGTGGCCCTTTACAGACATCATCTGCCAAGTGCTAATTAATGGTGACTTGGTGGAAAGCAGCATGTTGGGTGAGGTTGCTGGTAGGCAGGTCGGTGTAGGTGCGAGTCCGTGGAGGGTGTGTTCTAACCGATTACAGTTCTTTATTTGTATCCTGCAGATGTATCTTCTGACTCCAGTGTAGGAAACAAGTTAAATGTAATGCTCAAAACAGTTTTTGGTAACCTTCCCGTTTTTTGTGAAGGGAGCTTGCTTGCCTTTCCTGATGAGTTGGAGGAAGAAAGAGAAGAGAGGAGATGAAAATCGAAAGGGAGCTTCTTAAACAAGGTCCTAGTCGGTTCATGGCTGGGTGCTTCCTTTTGCATTTTTTGGCAAATTGAAGAGCCTTGAGGGTAGAGTTTGATGGTGAGAACTGGACTGGAATTCTGTTAGATAAGCAATTGAGAGCCACAGTTTGGAAACTCTGTTTCCTTGTGTGTATTTTCGGACCAGTAGAACGAGTATTAATTTCCATTTTTAGCCTGTAATCCAGTAGTACCTTATTTTTACAGAAGCTTTTGTCTTCCTAGATTAATTGCACACAATCACAAATGATCAGTAAACAAGATATATTTGTGCATAGGAAATAGATGCTTCTTGGTTAATTTATATAATGCTGACCTAAGTAACTGTAAAAGAGTAAAAATGAATATGTAAAGCCAATGGCTTTTGTAAAAATGGAGAGAATTTCCATCCATTTCTAAAAGAAAAAACTGGCTTTTGTGCAATTTATGTATTATTTTTATTATTTTTTAGTAGAATTTACTGGGGTTACATTGGCCAGTGAAGTTATATGGGTGTCAAGTGCAAATTTTGCAGTACGTCATCTGCACACTGTCGTGTGCTCCCATCCAAAGCCTCCTCTCCGTCCATCACCATTTACTGGTGTCCCCTGTTCACTGTCTGCCACCTGCCCCAACCAGCATCCCCGTTGATGCCCTTCTACCTGCCCCCACCCCCACCGTCCTTCTGGTCGTCACCATACTGTTGTCCGTGTCCATGAATTTTTTCTTCTCCTTAATCCCTTCATGGATTTCACCCAGCCCCTCTGACACCTGTCCGTTCTCTGTCTTTTTTGTAAAGTTAAAAAATGCAGACCATCTCACTATTGCTTACGTTAAGCAGTTGGTTGAAATTATTAAAGCAGTTGAACAAATTAATTCCAGTAATAAGTAGCCTCGTTAAGTTAATGTATATTACACATTCAGGTGACTGAACCCTAATGTAGAGTAGGTATAGAATGTGTTTATAAAAAACTATCTAATCTGGTACGTGCAATTATGAGTTTGCAAATGAAAAACTCGAAGATGAATCTTAGCTTGTGAAGTTACTTGTTTTTCTTGTTTTCAGTTACAATCTAGAAAACAACATATGGAATGTGGGGACTCCGTCGCGGGGACCTCTCCAGAGATACGGGCACTCTCTTGCTTTGTATCAGGTATGGATCCTGCTTATACATTTAATTTTTTTTGAGTTCACCTTAAGTCTAAAAAATACTAAATCTCAGATTTATTTTAAACACCTCATGAGAACAGTAGATCCTAAGGATGGTAATGATTTGAGATGTCACAGACTCATACTCTATTTTAGTAAAAGTAGTAGGGTTCAGTAGTCACTTTGCAAATTGTGGTAAAATACACGTAATATAAAATTTACCACTTTACCCATTTTAAGGTAGAGTTCAGTGGCATTAGGTACATTCAAATCGTTGTCCAGCCATTACCACCATGATCTCTGGACCTTTGTTTGTCCTGAAGCTGAAACCTCATGCCATTGAACAATTCCCCATGCCCCCCTTCCCCGGGCCCTGGTGACCATCATTCCACCGCGGTCGCTGTGAATTTGACTACTCTGGTGCCTCATATAAGAGAACTCACACAGTCCTTGTCCTTTACTGACTGGCTTTATTGCACTCAGCGCAGTGTCCTCAATGTTCCTCCATCCCGGGCCCGTGTCAGGCTTTCCTTTCTTTTTATGCCCGAGTAATAGTCCGTTGTGTGTATGTGGTGCATTTTATTTATCCATTTATCTGTCGATAAACACTGGGGTTGCTTTTACCTTTTGGGCTCCGTGAATCAGGCTGCTGTGGGCAGGAATGTGCTCCTGTACCCACTGTGGATTTTGGGTGTAGATAGCAGAAGTGGAATTGCTGGATTATATGATAATTCTATTTTTATGTTTTGAGGAATTTCCATATTGTTTTCTGCAGCGACTGTACCACTTTACTTTCCCACCAGCAGGGCACAGGGCTGTTGGCTTTTCCATATCCTGTGGCATTTTATTGTGTTTTTGATTTGTGTTTCCCTAATGATCAGTGATGTCGCAACCTTTCCAAGTGCTTGTTGGCTATTGGTATGCTCTCTCTGGAGAAATACATATTCGAGTCCTTTGTCCAGTTTAAAAATGGGTTTTTTTTTTTTTTTTGGTCATTGAATTTTGAGATTTTTTTAATGTGCTCTGCAAATTAACTCCTAGTTGGATATATGATTTCCAAATATTTTCTCCCATTTTGTGAGCTGATTTTTCCCTCTGTTGATAGTGTTACTTGATGCACAAAAGTTTTTAATTTTCACGTAGTACAGTTTATCTTTTTTTTTTTGTTACCTGTGCTTTTGGTGTCGTATCCAAGAAACCATTGCCAAATCCAATGTATGAAATTGGACCTTTGCCATAAACAAAATTTACTCAAAATGGATTAAAGACCTAAAAACAATAATACTTTAAAACTCATAAAAGAAAACATAAGAAAAAGGTTTCATGGCATTGAGTAAATTTTGCTCATGGTGTATGGCAAAGGTCCAATTTCATTTTCACATGAAGATATTCCATTTTCCTGGCATCTTTGTTAAAAAGACTGTCTTTTCCCCAATGAATGGTCTTGGCACCCGTGTTGGAAATCACTTGACCGACCACTCATGTGAGGGGTGTCTCTGAGCTGTCTGTTCCTGCGACACCCGTGTTTACGTGAGCGCCACCCTGTTCTGATGATTCTGGCCTCGCAGGAGGTTCTGAACTGCGGTGGTGGGAGAGCTCCAGCCTCCGTCTTGTGTTTCCAGTCGTTTGGTCTCTTCAGGGTCCCCTGAGATTCTGTGTGAATATTGGGGTGGTTGTTCTATTTCTGCAAGTACGTTATTTGGATTTTGGTAGAGATTCCACTGTGAACAGTTACTTTCATGTATTTGAAGGATTCATGATTTAAATGACAGGCTGCTTAACCGGTTTTTGTTTTGAATCAACAAATGTTCATGTATTTTGTGATCTGAGACTAGACCCTTCAGATCAGGATTCATATATTTTCTCTGCTTATTTAAGAAAAATTGGAAAATACAGGAGCAATGTAAAGAATAAACTGCCATTTTTATGCATATGCATGTTTTAAAAATGAATTAAAAATCTTCAAGTAAAAATGTGTGTATATATGTTTTAGTTTTTTAAAAAAGATTTTATTTATTGTTTAGAGAGAGGGAGAAAGAAAGGGAGAGAAACATCAGTGTGTGTTTGCCTCTCACATGCCCCTGACTAGGGAACCTGGCCTGCAACCCAGGCATGTGCCTCAAGTGGGAATCAAACTTGTGACCTTTTGGTTTTCAGGCCAGTGCTCAATCCACTGAGCCACACCAGCCAGGGCTGTTTTCTAGGTTTTTAAGATTAAATTTATTGGTGGAGGGGGTGACACCGGTCAGTAGGGTCATATTGGTTTCAAGCGTACATTTCTATGGCACATGATCCTGTATATTGCATTGTTTTTTAGTTTTCTGATTTATTCCATTTTCGTAACAGATTTATTGAGATATAATTGACACACCATATAACTCACTCATTCTAAGTCTGTATGATTGAATGGCTTCCAGTGTATTCAGACTGTGCAACCATCTTTTGCAGATATGTGCCAAGTTACAGAGTTGTCCAATCACGTTTGCAACATTTTTGTCACCTCACAAAGAAACCCTGTATCCTTCAGCTATCTCCTCAAGCCTCTGCACCCCACCAGCCTTAAGCAAACATTAGTCTCCTTCCTGTCTCTCCGACTTTCTACTCCGAACATTTCATGCACATGCAACTCTGTACCATGCGGCTGATGACTGGCATGTTGCAGCATGTGTCAGTGCTTCATTGTTATGGCTAAATAATATTCTATTGTATGTGTATACTACTGTCTGTTTATCTTTCCATCAGTTAATGGGCATTTGGGTTATATTCGCTTTTCAGCTCTTATGCATAATGCTGCTGTAAACATTTACATGTAAGTTTTTGAGAGAGGACGTGAGCTTTCATTTCTCTCGAGTGTGTACGTGGGATCAGACTTGCAGGGTCAGATGGTGATGCTGGGTTTAACTTGTGGAGGAACGGCGGCTGTTTTCTAAACCGGCCATCCCATCTGACGCCCCCAGCCATGCCCGAAGTTTCCAATTTCTGCGGATCCTTGCCAGCTGTCATTAGTATCTGTTGTTTGGATTGTAGCCATCCCGGTGGGTGTGAAGTGGTATCTCATTGTGTTTTGATCGTATTCCTGTTGATTAATGATGCTGAGCATCATTTCATGTGCTTATTTACTGTCTGTGTTTTCTTGGGAGAAATGTCTTATCCAAGTCCTTTGCCCATTTTTTAAGTTGGGTTACTTGTCTTTTTATTACTGAGATGTAAAGGGTTCTTTACGTATTCTAGATACAAGTCCCTTATTATTTGCAAATATTTTCTCCCATTTTGTGAGTTTGAACTTTCTTAATGGTGTCTTTTAAAAGATAAAGGTTTTTTTTTTTTAATTTTGGTGAAATGCAATTTATCTTTCTTTTTCCTTTTGTTGTTTGTGATTATGGTGTCATGTCTAAAAATTCTTTGCCAAAAACCAAGGTCATGAAGAGTTACCCCGTGTTTTCTTTGAAGAATATAGTTTGGCTCTTAGATTTAGGCCTTTGATTCATTTTGAGTTAAATTTTTTATATGGATGAAGTAAAGGTTCAAATTAATTCTTGTGCATGTCACTGTTCAGGCTTCTTACCACCATTTGTTGGGGAGATTATTCTTGCTCCATTGAATGGTGTTGACACTCTTGTCAAATATCGGTTGGCCGCAGATGTAGGGGTTTATTTCTGAGCACCCTGTCCTATGGATTTATATGTCTGCCTTTAGGCCAGTAGCACAGTGTTTTGATGACTTTGGCTTTGTAGTAAGTTTTGAAACTGAGAAGTGTGGGCCCTCCGATTTTATTTAATTATTTCAAAATTGTCTGGGTACTCTGGGTCTCTTGCAATTCCACGAGAATTTAGGAATCAGCTGGCCAGTTTCTAAACAGAAGTCATCCGGGATTCCGGTAACAGTGGCATTGACTCTGTGGTTCGGCTGGGAGAGCACTGCCTGGCCTCATTCACAGGAAGTCCTCTGACCTAGGAACGTGGGGCGTCTCTCTGTTTATTTAGAGCTGTTAAAGTTTCTTTCAGCAGCGTTTTGTTGCCTTCAGAGTAAGTGTAGAATTTCTTTTGTTAAATTTATTTCTAACTTTAATTTTTTGATGCATTTGTACATGGAATTGTTTTACTTATTGTCATTTTTGGATTGTTCCTTGCAAGCGTATAGAAATATAATTCACTTTTGTACACCGGCCTTGTATTCTCCAATGTGGTAGAAGTCATTTGTTAGCTTTAATTGTTCTTTGTTTATTTCTTAGCATCATCTATAGATACATTCATATCTTGTATGAATAGCAATATTTTACTTTTCCAACCTGGTTGTCAGTTTTGGCCAATTTGCTCTGGCTGATACCTTGGTACACTGTGAACCATAAGCAGCAAAGGGGGGCGTCTTAGTCTTGTGCTTGACCGTCATGTGAAAGCATCTACTCTCTCATCATTAAGTGTGGTGTTAGGTCTGTGTTTTCTTAGATGATCTTTATTAGGTTGAAGAGATTCCTTTCTATTCCTGGGTTGTTGAAATAGGAGCAATTTGTCTCATTTATGTATCATTCATTTCAGTCATGTGTGATTAAAGCTATTTGTATAATTTATAAGTGCTATAAGTATCTGCCCAGAGCCAAGGGAAGTGGTGATAACAATGTGCTCCGTGTCATACACACACGTGGTCTACCTTTTTGCGAGCTGTGCTTGATGGAAGCAGTGAATGATCGGAACAGCACAAAGCGTTACACATGGATGGTGACATTCAAATGTGACAATCAGAGACTCAGCAAGTAGGATAATAAAAAGATGGTTAATTGACTACATAATACAGTTGTTTTCAATAAAATGTCTTACAGTAACTTTTTGAAAGCATGGATTCCCCCCCCTTTCTTGTAAGTAAAAGCATCATTTTTCATTACTCATGTGTTCCCATTTGACTCTTTACTAATAAGAATCATGTCTGGTGCATGTTGCGATCACTGAAATTTGATGTTGAAATTCAGCCTTCATGTTAAATGAATATGCCTCGCTATTTTGTTTCTCAACACACGCTTTTTAACTTACAGGAAAACATCTTTATGTATGGAGGCAGAATCGAAACTCACGACGGCAACGTCACTGACGAACTGTGGATCTTTAACGTACAGAGCCAGTCATGGAGCACGAAGACTCCCACGGTGCTCGGGCACGGGCGGCAGTACGCCGTGGAGGGGCACTCGGCACACATCATGGAGCTGGACAGCCGGGACGTGGTCATGGTCATCATATTTGGCTATTCCGCCGTGTACGGCTACACGAGCAACGTCCAGGAGTACCACATCTGTGAGTTGCTTTGAAAAATGTGACTGTAGGCTCTTTCTTGCTGGAGAATATTTTTATGGTTCATAAAATCTTCACAGGGAATTTAGTCAGGATGGTTAGTTACCGGAAATAAGAATGGCAAGCCAAGAATTAATCCTTCTAAATATGTTCTGTAGTTTTGTGTTAGATTTTGTCTTTCTATATGTAAGCGTGTCTTCTTAGCAAAATGTGGGGAATGATACGTACTAAGTACCTCAGTCACGTTTTCCAAGAATTGAGGATATTTTGAAATATGGGAAATTCCAATAGATGGTGCTATTTCTTTGGATTTTACTCATGGACCGAGAGCTAAAACTAAACCAGACTCTTTGCCGTGTAATCCAGGATATCAGGATTTCTCATTTTTGAGGGTACTGTTCCTAATCTTACTGCAGAATCTCCATATTCATGTTACACTTTTAAAGGGAGCTTCTCAGGGAAAGTCGGCAAGAGGTTGTTATCTGGTGTGTGAAGGTGGCTGGGACGATCTACCCATGACTTTCTGGGCTATGCTCTTAAATCCTCTTCTTTGTTTTTCTGGTGCTTTATTAAAAAATTATGAAATTTTTGAACAGTTGTTAAAACATTTATCTACAAATATACAGGGTGTGGCACAAATAATGCCCCCTTTTTATTACAAAACCATAAGCATCTAATTCTGTAACATAACAATATCACACTCAAGCACACCATATGGCATTTTAGGTGAAATGTCCAAATTAAAACTGTAACTTATTACAGCCATAACATTACCCTACCAACCACACTCAGGCAGGCCTTACCTCTGCCAGTCCCTGTACGTACCGTATAGTCACTACTATATTTGAGAACGTGCTCCATTTCTGGCTCTTTCCAGTATTATGAGATCAAGTTTTAGCCTTTTTTGTGTATAGACAACTGGACAGGGGCGGGGCAAAAGTAAGTTTACAGTTGTCTGTGTGGAATCATCAATAAATGGTACTACAAGAATAAACTCCATTTTACGTACCCACAAAAGCAACCTCCCTTCTGCTGCCGCCTGAGTAGAGCTCCGCGGGGCCCTTGTGCAGTCTTCACGGGAAGGCTGTCGGGCAGGTCACCTGCAGCAGCCGGGGGAGCGAGCTTGTGCGCCCAAAGCAAGACACCCCTCTAGCTGCTCCGCTGGGTCCCCTGTTGCCCTTCCCAGTGATCCGTGTCCCTTCCCTGACCCCAGTGAGGCTGGGCTGGAAGTGGGATGTGCGAGCTCAGCACTTCTCATTGCCCTTTGCACTCTGCTTCCATCCCTTCCTCTTCGAATCGCTCGGCTTCGAATCATGTGTCATTAGACTCTGCCGCCTGTTTTTCCTCCTCCTCGTCTTCGGTTGCTCCTCAGATTGTTGTGTTTTATTCCTTGAAGACAACAGCTTCCGTCGCACTGTCCCTCCACCCCATGTATGTTAACCAAATGTTTTTATGGTTTCAGTACCCACTAGAATAACTCTTCTAATACCCGACCCCTCAGCTTTTTACCTCTCTTCCACAGATCTTGTTTTCCATCCTCCTTGAGTAGCTCTTGCCTGTTGTCGTACCTGCAGTGAAGCCCACAATTTCCATTTTGCCTGTCTTACTTCCCATGCCACCAGTGAGTTCAGCTTTCTCCCTCCAGCACCCAAACTCTGGGAGTCCCTCCGCCTCGCCAGAGCATTTAGTTCACCGCGTCTGCTTTCAGGTTCTCACGCTGTCTCGTCCCTACTTCCGAACTCACCACTTAAAGTTCACAGTCACCGCTGTCTCTTCCAACTCTCCACAGGGACTGTTTCATGCGTTTTCCTCTCTCTTCAAACTTGGCAACATTCCCTTCTTCATCATAACTCTCAGCTGGCGACCTGGCTTGTTATTTTACAGAGAAAATCAAAGCAATCTAAAGAGAATTTCTGCAGATGGGAAGGAACATTTGGAGTAATGGCTAATAAGCAGTGCTGCGTTGAATAAACCTGCTTACACGCGTTACTGCCGTGACAAACTCACGATGGCGTGGGTGTGAGTGTGGCTGTCCCCTGACTTTCAGATGAGCCCAAGCAGTGTTTCAGCAAGAGTCGACTTACAGATGTCCCGTGTAGAAAGGTGTTGTTTGACTTTGTTATTGGTGTTAGTTTGATGATAATGTTCAGGGAATGGTGATAGGTGTTATTTCCCTATTTTATAATTGTTCTAAATCATTTTTTATCCTCATGCTATTACAGTTGTCCCAGTTTCCCCCCTTTGCCCTCCTCTGCCCAGCCCGCCCGCCGCTCCCACAGCCCGTCCCCACTCTGCTGCCCGTGTCCGTGGGCCATTCGCATGGGCCATTTGTCCAGTCCCTTCCTCCTCTCCCCCTCCCCTGTGTTCACTGTCAGTCTGTCCCGGGTTTCCATGGCTCTGGGTCTATTTCGTTTGTTAGTTTATTTTGTTCATTAGATTCCTCTTATAGGTGAGATCACATGGTATTTATCTTTCACCAACTGGCTTATTTCACTTAGCATAATATTCTCCAGTTCCAAGGAATTTCTCTATATCATAATTAATGGAGATTTTCTTTGTGGCCTGATTTTCATAAATACTTTACAGACACTTGAAGAGGAGGCAAATCCTATGATTTTAAGGTATGATGTCTGAGATACTGTATATAGATCAAATCTCTGTGTTCATTTTACTACTTGGTGCTTCTATTCCTTATATATTTTTTGTACTGGATTTATCATGTCTAACACACTACAGATATTAGTGTATTTTTGCCTATTTCTCCTTGTATATTCTGGAACTTATGCCTTATGGACATTACTATTATGGATATTCATAATTGGTTCATCATTGTTGCAAATCGTGTCTTTTAATGTTATAAAGTGCTTTGCTTGTTTGATGTTTTTTGACCGGATTTCTGTCTTGTCTGACGTTAATACTCTGGCTCTTGTTCGTTTTGTTCCGGGGTGGTGGTCGGTGTTTTCCTGATAGACTTTTGCCTGTGTCTTCATTGTTGACCTTTCAGAACCACTTCGTTTTAAACGTATCTCTCGTGTGCAGCAGAAAGTTAGATTTTGCTTTGTGATCCCATCTGGGTTTTGCGCGTTTTCTGTACATGGTTTATATTTTTAATAGTCACTCTGTTGTCTTTTAAAATAATTACATACTTTCTCATGTTCAGAGGGGAGAGGCCCATTTTTATGTGGGAAGGGAGGCAGTTCTGATGCTTCCTGGCTCCTGTTCCTCATGTTCCTTCCTGCCTTCTGGGGCTTCCTCCCTTTTACTTGCTTCTTGCACAGTCCCAGCTGCTTTGGTATTTGTGGGTTTGTTCATTTTTAGTTTCTCTGGAAATTTATTTTTCTTTCATCCTCCCCCCCCTACCATATTTTCCTTGTTGCTTTCTATGTCTTCCCTGGGGTGAATAGAAGATTCAGAATTAAACTCTCACCACGCTTGTACTTGAACCGTAGATTTTGACTTTTGAAGTTCGAACATAAATACTTAACTACGTCTAAAGTTAACTGGTACTTTTGCTTTTCGCTTGAGCTCTGATCTACAGGATGCCATTTTCCACTGTCTTAACTCGTCTTGTCTTGTTCCAGACACGTTGGCATCATCAGTATTTCATTCTAGGGGTCAGCAACCTTTTCCATAAAGGGACCGAGAGTAAATATTTCAGGCGTTGTGGCCAGTGTGGTCTTTGTCACAGCTAATGAACCCCGCTGCTGTGGTGTGAAAGCAACCGCAGACTGCACTTGGACCCACGGGCAGCGGGGCTTCGCCCTCGGGTCTGAGTTAGCCTAGTCCTGCTCGAAAGAGAGGGCGTGTGTGTGCTGCGGGGGCCCAGCCACCCTGGTCCACATTTATTAAACATTTTGGCACGTGGGAAATTTCCGTTTGGATCTTGTATATGCAGTGAACTCATGGCCCACGTTCTATGACCCAAAGTTCTCAGAAGAAATGTTTTTTTCCCCCTTCAGATAGAGCCAGGGTAGAAATACACATTTTTCTGTCTGCTTCTACAGAGCAGGTTAAAGAATAACTCACTTTTTCATGGAGGATATAGTCCTTCAGGGATCTAGACTTTGTGTAGAAGTTCTCTGATCCATTACCCACGTGGGCTGACCTTCAGTACTGGCCATGGAAGCTGAGTCTCCGAGCCCCCCGATCGGGACACCCGCTCCCTACCCAGCCTTCCCACCGAGCGTGGTTTCTAGTGCGCGGAGCATATTGCATTCTTCATATGCTGCCCTTTTTCGCAGGAGAGTCTCATGCAGCCGTGAGACGTGGTGGCATCTTGCTTTCCAGGGGCTGACCAGAAGGCACGGCAGATTCATGTAAATTTTCTGTGAGTGGTAACATTGGTGCAGGCAGACCGATAAGTTCGTTGGCTGGTAGGTTTTTGTTTTCCTGTGGAGCACCGTGAATTACAGAATGTCAGTGGTAGTTTTGGTAAATCGTAAACTATTTCTGCACAGTTTCTTTTGGCTTATTCTATAACCAAAGTACTATTTCCATGTAAACTTATCAACAGGGCATTTTGGGTTTGATTTTTGTCTTACTAACGGCATTACTTGTCAGGCATACTTGCGGGTGTAGTCTTAGATGGAAACAGGAAGGATACATGACTTATGAGTTTTATGAGAATAATAAATGGATTATGAGTAGATTTTAAATTTTGTGAATTATTTAAGTGCAAAGCTCAACTTTTCTGTAAAATTATATCTGAATAATAAAATGAACTTACTATGTTATGTACTTCTAACGCATTTTGAATTTGGTGCTTATTGTTGAAAGTATAGTATCAAAAAATAATCTGTAGGTACCTTCAGTTTGAAAAGTTCTTACACAGAAAAATATACATAATGATGGGTAATTATAGTTTAAAGATGTCAGAATAATTAAGTTGTATATACCGTAGGCAGTGCTGCTTTAGGGAATGATACTATAGTAAGTAGGGCTGCTTTGAACATAAGTAATGAGATAATTTATCATCTGAGTTATAAGTGAAGGCTGATCTCTAG